CATCTTGATCAATTAAAAATTTGTAACAGAAATGGAAAAGACAACATAATTCATAGTCAGTAGCCTGAATGGGGGAGGGGGGAAGGTTCTCTTAATTTTTCTGAATTTGTCTCAATGAAGCGTCAAATCCTAGTCCCTAATTTTAAACAAAATAGTGTTAAAGCCAATTCACAGGTTCTTAGTTGTAATTAAAAAATGTCTTACTTCAGCGCAGAAAACAGCCAAAGGTCTCTAAAACAACACCAATTCCTATCATTCATTGCAAGCTAAACAAAGTACGTATCAGGTAATGGTGCTGTGTGTGCCTTTCAGGGACAATAGTCAGCCATTTCTATTAAATGGTTTATACAAATGTGTTTTATTTCAGAAGCACTTGTCTGCGCGGCCAAGGCCTTGGTCCTCTTCACTGCAGGGCTGGGCAGGGGCGGTGGCTAGACTTGCAACCCTCAAAGTGCCAATTCATTCAGGCATTAAAGAGACATAGTTTGTGGAGATGTGAATGTTCAAGGTAATAAAAAATAGATTAATCATTCTTTTTATTTGAATTTAAGCCCATTGATTATTTCAGGAAAAGAATGTTGGTTTCGGAGAATATGTCATCAAAATTTCATTCATCTCATCCTTGTAAACAGGAGAGCAATTCCCGGCTGTCCATGGAGACCATGCGGGGCTGGCCCATCAGTATGCCATAGAATTAACATAGAATTCTCAGCTGTGTAGTCTTGAAACCGTCATCCAAATTTCAGTCACTCTCTTCACTCGAGAAGTGAGCAAGGCAACCAGCAACTTCTTTCGAGTATTGTGATGACAGAATAACTTCATGTGTAAATCAAGAACACGAGCCATATGTTCCCTCTCTCTGTTGTCTGTTTCTCTCTCTGACTCTGTCTGTGTGTGCCTGTGCCTCAGCCTCTTCCAGTACAAAATCCAAATAATAATAATCCACAACACCCCGAAAAACTCAGCCCATGCGATCACTGGGTGAGGACTGGGTTCTTGCTGTCTTGGTAACAATTCACTCCCTCCCATCCCCCTCCGGCTGCCGCTGCCCCATCTTCCAGAACCACTCTTCCTCCTCCAGTTCCAGGCTCACCAGGTATCTCTGCAGTCATCCATGTAGACCCCCACGTGGGATCTCTAGGTTGGAAGAACAGATGTTTCTTCTACTTCCAGAACCTTTTAAGGAAACAGCTTCAAACATTTACCTTACCAGATTAAATAACCTCTCTATTTTTCAGTGCCTTTTAAGGAACCAAGACAGAAGCAGACAGGAATATGTCTGCCTATGCTCAAAGTAGAGCAGGAAATAGTGGAACACTCATGGGTTGAAACATCAGATATGATACTGAAGGGCAGAAGGCAACAAGCAGAAAGAGTGGAGGTGAAGTTGTGTGGAGAGAAAGAGCAGCAGAGATGGGACACAGAGCAGAGACAGACGGACGGACAGAAAGGCAGTGAAGACAGGAAGGTTTCATAGTAATTTGTGACAAGTGGCTTTGGGTGTGCATGGCTACATGGGGTTTTTTGATTCTCGACTGAGTATCGGTGGTAACACATTTTATCAGTTTCCCTCCCTCCACTCTGACCGACTGCTAGAGTCTCTGCAATTCAAGACTTTTCCAGAAGGATTTAGCTCGAGGGCATATTGTAAGAAAGTGTGGTTTTTTTGGAGGTTTAGCGACATCAAATAACTTCTTGCAAATTGAATACATTGGTGCGAGGAACACACATTCTCAGTCCAGTCATTACTGAGCATGCTCATTCTTGATTTATTCTCCTTCCCACAGAGAGGAAAGAACAGCAACTGTGTTTCAGATACCAGGGATATTGCCCTTCCTCTACTCAAAATAGCATTTCACACATGGAGAGAGGAGGGGAGTGAGTGGCTTCCAGAAGCTGGAAAGTGTCAGGATGAGGTAGAGGTTGGGAAGGGAGTGGTTTGTCTGCACAGAATCACCATTACTACCAGGTACAATTGTTCCCGCTCAAGGTACAACTACTGCGGCTCCCCAATGGAGTTAACAGGAATTGATTGGCCATAATTAACAATAATTGCCTTCAGAATAAGATATTTCAAAATTTCCTAAGGAAGATTTTGAACGTGCTCACCCCAAAGTTACAATATTAACCGCTGTGAGTGTGCTAGGTCCGTGCTGATAGAAACCTCGTACAGATGCTAGTGCCCTGATCTGACCAATTTCATGACTGTGCACAATTACTGTGTGCCAGAATAAGACCTTGAAAATGCTTTCACCCCTCCTCGCTCAGGACTTTCACACACAGAGGTGATCCATTTCAGAAGAATGGGACTGAGTGGGAGGAAGGTGTCATTGGCGGTGAGGGCTGAGCAGATGGGAACCAATGACCTTGGAGGAGGCCACGGGAGGTCTGCAGAGTGGCCTGTGCTCAGGGAGAAGCATTAGGCCTTAAGGAACCCGTGTAAACCTCAACTACATAAAACGAGATGAAGGCGTGCCTGGTCGCCCCCAGCACCCCTCCACGTGGCCTTTGGAATTCATCCTCCCTCACTTCGGGCTCTCTGGTTTCACCACAGCATTTACCCCTCACTAATGCTTTCCTTCTCTATTTACTGGTGCAGTTATTTTTCCCCTCTCGGCCTTCAGAGTCCGATAAAGTCATCCATACATGCCTGGTAAACAGAAAAATGTCCATTCGTGTTCCATTTCACTCCGGCTTGGGAAGGCAGGGCCTAGTATTTCTTGTGGAAAGGACACAGCGCCTGACTGGAGGCAGTCAGCACTGCCCTGAGATGTGTTGTTGAAAATATTCATTTTGTCCCTGGTGACCCCTCACCCCCCCCCCCAGATTCCTCATCTATTAAGCAGAGCTAATAATAGATACCTCCCCCACACACGCGAGTTTTTAAATGATGCACAAGAAAATAATTTTCTAAACTTGAAAAAAACACACAAAAGAAATGTTTAAAAGCAGTAGACTTGCCCAGAGGCTGGACCCGGGTTGTCACAAGCTCCACTTCCAGCATCCTGGGCTGGGGTACAACCACGGGCGCCATTTTGGATGGTGGCTTCTGGTGTCATGTGGGAGTGGTTTCTCTCCATTGGAGAGGCCACGGTTCCCTGTGCGCCTCATGGGGGCATGGCCAGCCACAGGCGGCTTCCAGTCTTGGCTGGGGCTCAGCCTGCAGGACCCCAGCTCTTCCCATGTCCAAGCCTGATTAGCCACCTGCACCATCGCTAGGAGAGTGAGCCCCACTCCGTGTGCAGGAGGAGGAACTGAGGACAGGGTGAGCCGGCCCAGGCGGGCGTGGGGCTCACCGGACAGGCGGGGTGCGGCCGGGCCGCCCCCCCTCTTCTGTAACACTGGCCCCCACCAGTGGAGTCTCTTCATCTGGGGTCCCGCTGTGTCTGGGGTCCCTCTGTGTCTGGGGTCCCTCTGTGTCTGGGGTCCCGCTGTGTCTGGGGTCCCCGCTGTGTCTGGGGTTCCCTCTCCCTGCGTCTGGGGTCCCTCTGTGTCTGGGGTCCCGCTGTGTCTGGGGTCCCGCTGTGTCTGGGGTTCCCCCTCCCTGCGTCTGGGGTCCCCGCTGTGTCTGGGGTTCCCTCTCCCTGCGTCTGGGGTCCCGCTGCGTCTGGGGTCCCCCTGCGTCTGGGGTCCCCCTGCGTCTGGGGTCCCGCTGCGTCTGGGGTCCCCCTGTGTCTGGGGTTCCCCTCCCTGTGTCTGGGGTCCCCGCTGTGTCTGGGGTCCCGCTGCGTCTGGGGTCCCGCTGTGTCTGGGGTTCCCCCTCCCCGCGCCCTTCAAGCGCCTCCGCTGCGTCTCCTGACACTTGTGGCAAGTCGAGTCCCGGGTCCCCCCTGGGGTCCCCGCCCCAGGTCAGGAGGCCGCGCGGCGACACACCAGCGCCGCGCCTGCCGGGCGCAGCGTCTGCAGGGGTGCGCTGTGCTGTCAGGCTGGCCGGCGACCTCTGTGTCCTCCCGGAGACCCGGGGCCTCCACGCGTGCCGGTTCCCGGCTCCGCGCCCGCACCCGGGCCGACCTTCCCCGGCCCCGCGGCTCGGCCCGGCCTGCGCCACCGGCCGCCCCGGCCACGCCGGCCCCCGGACACCCGGGCCTCCCAGACACCGCCGCCAGGGCCCCGCCAGCTGGCGGCCGGAGCCCAGGGGAACCCGCTGCCCTGCGCCTCCGCCTCCATTCGGCTTCTGGCTGAGCTCGTCCTGCGCAGGAGGGCGCGGGGGGGGGGGGGGGGGGGACTGCAACCGGACCGCGCCCGGTGGCTCCCTCCCCTCTCCTCTCTGCCCTCTCCTCCCCTCCCCTCCCCTTCCCTCTCCCCCCTCTCCTCTCTCCCCTCCCCTCTCCTCTCTCTCCCCTGCCCTCCCCTTCCCTCTCTTCTCCTCCCCTCTCCTCCCCTCTCCTGCCTTCTCCTCCCCTCTCCTCTCTCTCCTCCCCTCTCCTCTCTCTCTCCCCTCTGCTCTCCTCTCCTCCTCTCCCCTCTCCCCCTCCCGCAGCCCCCCTGCCTGAACCCGGCGGGTCTGCACCTCCGCCCCGCCCAGCGCCCAGAGTTGCCGGGCAGCGGCTCCAGGAGGCATTGGCTCCACAACTTTTCACGTCATTTTCTGCTCTGGAGCCGGGTCGCCTGCCCTCCCTCCCTCCCTCTCCCCTCCCTCCCTCCCTCCCTCTGCCTCTCTCCCTCTTTCTCTCTCTTTCCCTCTGCCTCTCTCCCTCTCTCCCTCTCTCCCCCTCTCTCCCTCTCTCCCTCTCTCCCTCTTTCTCTCTCTCTCCCCCCTCTCTCCCTCTCTCTCTCTTTCTCTCTCCCTCTCTCTCTCTTTCTCTCTCTCTCTTTCCCTCTCTCTCCCTCTCCCTCTCTCTCTCTCCCTCTCTCTCTCCCCCCTCTCTCTCTCCCTCCCTCCCTCCCCCCTCCCCTCCCTGTCCCTCCCTCCCTGCCTTCCCGCTGCTGCCTGGCTCGCTGCTCGCTCCTCTCCCGCGGATGGAGCCGGCGGCGCCCTGACCCCGCCAGACCGACCCGCGATGTCCAGCCGGAGGCCGGAGGACCCCGCCCCCGTCCCCCGCCGGAACTGGACGTGGGACCCGGAGCCGAACGGGACCTGGGAGCCGCCGGGGCCCAGCGACTACGAGGACGCCGAGTTCCTGCGGTACCTGTGGCGGGAGTACCTGCGCCCCAAGGACTACGAGTGGGCGCTCATCGCCGGCTACATCGTCGTGTTCGTCGTGGCCCTGGTCGGGAACGTCCTGGGTGAGCGGCCCGCGCCCGGCGCCGAGCGACCCCCCGCGGCCCCCGTAACCCCCGCGCCCCCCGTACCCCCCGCGGCCCCCGTACCCCCCGCGGCCCCCGTACCCCCCCGCGCCCCCCGTACCCCCCGCGCCCCCCGTACCCCCCGCGCCCCCTGCGCCCCGGGACCCGAGCCCCCTCCCCACGGCGCCCCCTGCGCCTCCGAACTCGAGCCCCCTCCCCTGCTCCGCCCTGCGCCCCGGGACCCGAGCCCCCTCCCCACGGCGCCCCACTGCGCCCCGAGACCCGAGCCCCCTCCCCTGCTCCCCACTGCGCCCCGGGACCCGAGCCCCCTCCCTTGCTCTCCACTGCACCCCGAGACCCGAGCCCCCTCCCCTGCTCCCCACTGCGCCCCGAGACCCGAGCTCCCTCCCCTGCTCCCCACTGCGCCCCGGGACCCGATCCCCCTCCCTTGCTCTCCACTGCACCCCGAGACCCGAGCCCCCTCCCCTGCTCCCCACTGCGCCCCGGGACCCGAGCCCCCTCCCCACGGCGCCCCACTGCGCCCCGGGACCCGAGCCCCCTCCCTTACTCCCCACTGCGCCCCGAGCCCCCTTCTGCACGCAGAGAGATCCGAACCCCGCTTTCGGGTGGGCTTGATTTGGTGGATGCAGAAAGAAAGCAGAAAGTTCCCTGGTCCCCGGGAGAGTCTGGAAGGGCGGCCGGGCCCGTGTCTCCGCCGGCCGGGGTGGGGTCCGGCCGGGCAGGGGCGCCGGCGGGGCGGGCGCGAGGGCAGAGCTGCGGCGGGCGCTGCGCGGTGCCTGCCCGGCGGGGCCGCGCCGCCCCCGCGGTCCAGACCCCGGCGCGGGCACCGGGAGCCGGGCGGGAGGGCGGGCGGGCGGGAGGCCGGCGGCGCGGGGCTGGGGGACCCGGGGACCCGGCCCGGACCCGCCCTCCCCTCTCCATTCAGCTTTCCGCCTTCCATTCAACCCGGATTCGGTTCCTCCCGGAGGACGCGCGTCGTCAGCCACAGCTCACATTTGCGTCCATGGATTCCCCCCACACCCCCCCAGGTTGAGCTGAGCCCTGTACGCGCGCGCGCGCGGGGTCCCCTCCAGCCTCCCCACCCCGACCTCCGGCCTCTGGCTGGGGAGGCGCGCGCTGGGGGTGGTCAGGGCCGGAGGAGAGCCGTCCCCGGGGAAGGAGCTGGCGGCGGGGCTGGGATTGTGAATGGAGGCGAATGGAGGCAGCCGGGGATGAATGGCGGGAGGGTTCTGGCTGCGCACCTGGGCGCACGGGGAGGAGGCGCTGCGCACTGGGGCGCACAGGGAGGGGGGGCTGCAAACCGGGCTCATGGTCGGGCGGGGGGGGGGGTCTGTGGGCGCAGAAGCAGCTGGTTCTGGGTTATGGAATGCCGGGCTGGAGGGGCGAGGCGGGAGGCCGGCAAGCCCTGGAGTCCAAAGCAAAGATTCAGGGCTGCACGTGGAGGACGCCTGGGGGTCCCTGCCTGCTCCCCGGGGTCTGGGGGCGCAGCGGGCCGGGCGCCCGCCGATCGCCCGGCAGAGATCCTCCAGTCCGGGCTGCGGCCCAGGGGTGACACTTGTCTCCGAACTTCCCTTGCTTTTCCTACGTGGTTTCGGGGTACTTCGTGTTACCTTCGGTGAAAACGTGGGGCGCGAGTGGGGGGAGCAGACGGCAGGGCCTGCGGGCAGAGAGGCCGTGGACGCCGCGTACACCGCCTCTCCCCGGGTGCGGGGTGCGCTGTCAGGGCGCGTGGCCGCCCGCGTGGCCCTGTGGTACTACGAGGTGCCTAGGTAAGAACCAAAACCTCCCACACCGAGCAGCACCTGCCGCTCACTGCGGACTCCCCCAGAACATCCCTTAGGAGAGCTGGTTGGAGGACGGGATTGAGATTCCGTGTGGTTCTCTCTGACCTCAGATCCCAAATTCCTCATTGCTATTCCACTCGGGATCTGGGAAGCATCTAACCACGTGCTCCTTCCTCCCCAGAGGCTGCCCGCCCAGGGGAGTCGCGTCTGGGGAAGGGGGCGCTTGCTGCCCGCCCTGCTCTGTGGTCAGGGCACTGGGCACTGGGGTCTTGCTGCCCGCCCTGCTCTGTGGTCAGGGCACTGGGGTCTTGCTGCCCGCCCTCTCTGTGGTCACTGCCAGTGCAGTGCAGCTGTCAATGCACGGCCGCTCTGCCCACCAAAACCCTTCCCAGGCTGGACTGTGACTGCACAGGAGAATGGCTCTTATCCATTTAGCAGCGACTACTTCCCTTCCCTAATTTTATATCCTGCCTCACCTCCGTGGTAAAAATGTGCTCTTGTCTGGTGCTATTTCATGTTAGCTCTGCATAAACCTGGAATGCCCAGCCTTCAGTTTCAAGAGGAAGTTGTTTCCTGATAGCCAGGGAGCAGGCGCTGTCCCCAGTCCCCAGTGCTGAAACAGACACTTCCATTCAGCGTAAAGGAGAGATTTGCTCAAGGCACTCTGCTCTCCAGATCCCAGCAGCTCTTCTCCTCAGGACTGAATGGCACTGAAATCCCCTACAGCCCAGCTGAAACTCATTCTCCACTGATGCGCTCTCTGCACGCAGACGAGGTTTAGGGTTGACATTTAAACAAATGAGCAGTGTCATTATGCACAGGCAACCTCTGTTCTTTGATGCTGCTGTCAAATGTGCAAGCGAGATTAAATTGAGAAGTGCCTTTTTGCCACCCCTCCCCATAGGAGTGATTGAATGCAGAGTATCAGGACAAGATGTCGTAGGATTCCTGCAAGATAAAGAGGCACCATCACTGCACAGGTGAACTCAGATCCCATGGGCACACAGACCCTGCCTCTGCAGGTCTGGCTGCCTCTGCATGCTCCTGTAGCTGGCTGCCTTGTTGAACTCACAGATACAATGCTGTCCACTGGAGGTCACTCCTCCAGACAAGCCTCTGTGGATTGTGACTTAACCGGATGTACTTGGTCAACCAAGCCCTGGCCACCCACCCCTTTCCTCTCCACACCATCCCTCTTAAACCTATCCCCAGCACTTCCCCTCCACTGGTAGATGCTCGTTACCGAGACAGAACACAATTTCCAGGAAAGAAATGACAAAGCCATTCACAAGAAGGCACAAATTACTGTCAAGGAGACTCCATGAGTATGCATGCCCTCATGAAAAGCTACACGCATCTCTCTTTGTGGGTTTTCAAGGCCAGGGGAAGAATATGTGGGAAATTTATTTGGGGAAGGAGGTTTTATTTGTTTTTGCAATATGTTCAAAACAATCCACCTATAGCCTGTTCCTATTAATATTGTATATTATAGTCAGGTAGCTATATCTAGTCACTATTATTTGAGTCATTTCATGTTTTTAAAGTGAATGTGCATGTCAAGTGGCAGAGATCTTGGTTGGGTGCAATCTCTACTGCTAATAACTTGGGGATTGGAGATAAAGATGTCTGCAGTTGCTTCTAACTTTCCAGATGTCTGCCTCTCTTGCTTCCACACCAAAAGACACACCATGCTTGAGTTGGTATGCCTCTACCTCCCTCACAATTATCTCTACATGAAGCATGGAAACCCATCCCTTGGCCACGCACATTAGTCTAGCTATGCTTTTTGCTGGCCGTGTGATCACTAGCAAGTTTCAGAAGTGCTTGTGTTTCTCATACCGCATTGGGATTGGCACTTCTTGCCTGGTAGAATTTGGATCCCAGTGCAGTGCAGTACATGGGCTTTCTCTATGGAGACACGTCCGGAGCATCCCCCGCCCGTCTGTCTGCCTTTCCACTCCTGGGAGTGGAAGCGCTTTCTCTCACGGCTCACCACTGTGTCTGCCGCTCTGGCTCAGCGTCTCTGACCCTGGATCCCCCACCATTTCCCAGCGGGGCATTTTCCTAGGGGTGTGGGTAAATGGTTTTTCTTTTTCTTTTTTGGTCACTCTCTCTCTTCATAGCAGATCTTTCAGTCTCCTCACATGTACTGTGTAACCATGGCTATCACCTGCCCATGAAATCCTAAGTAGGGGCTCATTCATCGTTCTGCTTCTGTCCGCTTAAATCTCCCTGCTCGGTGCCTCATTCACTTAGCACATTCATCATTTCATCTACTGTTAGCGTTCTAAATATAAACATGCAATGAGTTCACTAAACTCAGTAAAAAAAAAAGTCCATTGTCAATAAAAGAATTTTCCCAATGAAGTCAAGATAAACTGGATGTTTGGTATGAGGGAAGGTTGGCATTAAAAGTGCTTTCTACAAAGATGGCTTTATGGCCCAGAGGTGGATGTGATTGTTACATCCTCCCCCACTATTTCTATGCCTAGGAGAAAATCACTGATGTATGCGTGTATTTATTTGGTGCTGCTGGGCTTCACACCTAGAGCTCCACAGTCGCAAGGCAGGTGCCCGAACACCTGAGCCACGCCCCCACCCCTCTTCACTTTATTTTCAGGCAGGGTCTCACACTTGTTTTCTGGGGTCAACCTTTACCATGATCTTATTTATGCTGCCAAAATATCTGGGATTACAGGCGTGCACCACCATGTCAACATTTTTGTTGATGTGTCACTGACAGGTATAGTAGATTTGCTTATGTCCAACCATATATATATATGTATCTGCACACACATATAGATATATCATAGACACGCTATGCACTTTGTGTATGTATGCATATCGATGCCAAACAAAATATTTATTTCAAAGAGGTCAAATCTAAAAATCAAGCACAAACACTGTGTTCTAGATTTTAAATTTCATCCTGATGTTTGCAGTGTTCACATACCAAATTATATCCCACGTATTTGCATGAAATTTCATTGTTTTCTGTTTTAATAATACTTGACATTTCACGTCACCACACCTGTCCGCATCCCAAAGGCATGGCACAGGCACCCAGGCTGCAGGGCTCAGAGGCCTTGGAAGGAGGTGCTGTGTTTTGTTCCCACGCCCTCCTCCTTGGGGTGGGCGCTGTTTCCCCAGGGACCTGAGGGTGGCGCCCTGCTGTGGCTCCCCCACCCCCTCCTC